TCAATGGAAACGTCAGCTCTACTCATATCATTGTGGGAAAATTCTACTACCAGTCCTTTATCACCTTACATGAAATAGGGCGAATACATCTCATATTATATTTCTAAATAGTTCGCCTACAGCCTAGACGACATCGTAATTGACCTATCGCAGTGGCTATTAGTAGTTCGGTTAGGAGGATAACGCTTTTCATTGATGATGCTGACTACGATGCTAGTTAAACGAGTTGACTGTCCGTTGCGGGAAGAGCAAATGGGAAGAATGCTAGAAAATGCAGTACAGGAAATATTCGTTGAAGTCTCTCTGTAGACATAAAAAAGGCCACAACAACCGTACTGGTAGCAAAGCAAGCGTTAGCTTTAATAACAGCAGACTGGATGAGAATAACTTTTGAAAGCAAGGCCATGTACAATTTAAGGAAAGTGTAAGGCCTACCCATTTAATAGTTTGAAAAATTCATCTATCAGTGCGTCATCAATTTATGCAGTCTAGGGGTACTGGAACTCTTGTTCAAGATAGGCTGATAGCCTCAAAACTATGGTACTATTGAATTTAAAAAAAGCCTCTTGGAAGTGGTATCGTGGGAGAAATTCCATTCTTATTCCTTGCACCGGATTAATTCACTGTTGGGTTTTGATAAACCTCTTGGTTAATAATTGTTGAGCCTACTTCCATTTCGAGTGATAAAGAGTTTCAAAGTTAGATCCAATCACTGATGGATGCTATGATTATCCGTGCAAGAAGCATACAGAAACCAACACTTTCCAGTTTTATACTTAACTTAATTTTCAACCATCGTTATACAACGAAGGTTGACCTCTTAAAATTACTGCTTATCCAAAGTACAAGGTAAGCCGATAGAGACCATTGTGATAATGGGCTAGCTAAACTGAAAAAAAACGCTAATTTAGAATAATTAGCCTCTAGGCCTGAATTCAAAATACCATCGGATAAATATGGAGCACATATTGGAAAGGAAATATTTGAGAAGAATTAAAGAATCAGGGTTTTTTCTAGTGTTTTGTCTTTGCCTTGTTGAGTTCTCTCTACAAAGCTAGGCAAACTGGAAGGGAAATGGGGGGATAATGGCGGCTTTCAAGGAAACTATGATACCTTCTGTAATAGTGCCTACTTTTGGGGCTAAATTTGGCCCATTATCCAGATGATGCTGTAATACATTAATCCATGTGGTCTGTGTGGTCGTTTTAGTGTTGGATAGGAGTAGCATTCTATTGGAAAAAGGATGCATGAACACAAAAGTACATGTAGAGGCTGCCGGATTCAACAATCAGAGATGGCAGAAGTGACAGGAGATCAACTTGCCGTATTGCTGACTACTGTCTGTAGCTGATCTCAAAAGTAGAGGGGCAATTGAAATCAACAAATTGTAAAAAGTATTGAAGGTTTAAAGCTAAATATGAACTATAAATACATGAGTGATGGATTTCAGGATGAATAGGATGTTGAGCTGTCTATCAACTTGTGTTGGCCTTACGTAATATCACACAGGCACACACACACACACAAACACGGACAAAAAGCTCATAAACATGATTAATCCGATAATACTTTATCGGAGTTGGGGCTTAAAAAAAGAAGTTGAGAATCATGAATGTTCTCTCATGTAATTGCTTTTGAACATTCACTGCTAGTCTTGTACATATATGCGCACACAAGAAAGCAAAAAAGTACACACGATAATGCTTTTAAGGTTGAAATATCAAGTCGCGATACACTTCTAAAATATGTATGGGTCTAGGTCATCTATATGGCATGTTATACATAGTTGTAGGAATTATACCCTACTTTAATTATATCCATCAGCTGAGAGTCGAAGGCTATGGCGTCAATAAGAATGTTCCAATAATGCCAACCAAGAACTAGTCAGGAGGAATCCATCTTCGTCTTCGGATGGAATCCATCTTGGAATCTCTTCCTCATATACTTACACTTATCTACTGAAGAATTTCGGATGTTTTCGAAATGTACTCTCATGAAATATATTCAGTTACATCAAGTGTGAGAGCAAAAAAATGGTTTACCTTATCGACACTTCCAGCAAAAATATGCGATTAGGCAGAGGTCACATCTGCCCTGCGACCCACGTATGCCCAGTTGCTGTATGACGAGATGGTGACATCTTGCCAGCATCAACTTTAACGAAATAGGATGAATACAGCTCTTGGATCAAATCTACTAGAAGTCTCGAAAGCCCAGCTATAAAACGAAATTGCTGTGGTGAATACGGCTTTGTTTCGTCAATAATCCCATCAGTGAATTTCATATAAGAAAAGCCTAAGTTTGCTTGAACTTCACTTCTGTTCAGCGATCCAGGGGCACCTCTGGCAGAGTGGCGTAGTGATTAATATGTCGAGGTTATATGTTGCCAAACGCAGGTTCGAGTATCTCAGGGGGTGCTGATGAGACCAAGGCCAGTTTTTAGGTGCAGTCCAGTCCAGCCCAGATGAGAATACATTTTGTGAATCAAGGCTGTG